GCGAATCAAAGATGCGCTGGGGGTTGCATACACATGGAGTTGCACACGCACAGATATATATATATATATGTGTGTGTGTGTATACGCATGTGCTGCTTTGCGCGGCTCAATGAGCCGCAGCAAAAAACATCTATAAATATTCTTGGCTTAGTGCGTGAGACCCGACCTGCGGCTCAATGAGCCGCAGGTCTATTATCGAAACAAGAGCGACATCCATCATCAGCCATGATCAGATGGCACGGGGGTCAATGTATATATATATAATTTTTTTGCATGAGACACAACCTGCGGCTCAATGAGCCGCATGTTTTTTATACAGGAGCAACATCCATCATGAATCAGCCATGACCATGACAACACGGCATGCGGCTCAGTGAGCTGCGTGATGAACATGCGATCGGAGCATGAACTCGATTTCAAGTTTAAGAATCAAAGTGCTAAAAAGGCACTATTTAATCAGTTTTGGTGTAAATTAGAAAACTTTAAAATTTTTATATCTCAAAAAAGTTAAGTTCCCTAAGTTAGTTATAACTTATTTTTGACCAATTTGTGAGAATCTACATATAGAACTTAGAAATTTCTAACTTTTGCTAACTAACTTGCAAGTGCCACATCTTAACATAAAAATTTGTGCTAGTTACAGAACTTGTAACCCCTTCATAACTAAGTTACCAACCACTTACAAGATACTTACAAGTTCCCTAGCCAAAAATGAACCACCAAGTAGAGTCATTGGACATGAAGGTTCACATACCGTGTGGCTATCCCATAGGGGCCTATTAGTTGCTGTGAGTCCGGAACATCTTGCTATGGCTTTCGATGAGGAAGTTCGACAGTGGACAACCATTGGTAGCGAGGTAGACCTTTTGGACACACAACCTGCAGCAGGAGGCACCGGTTTCATTGACTTGAGGAAGCAGCCAAAGCCGCCAGCAGAAGGTTTTGAGAACGAGAGGCTTGAGGATGAAGATCCACAAGAAGCAACCAGAGATGAGCTTGAGAACAGAGAGCTTACCACCACAGTTCCAGAGGTTGACATGGAGTATACACCATCCATACCAGAAGAGCATATTGATCCGCCTTATCAGCAGATGCCTGAGTATCCCTCCGAGGACATGTCTTCAGATTCTTTGTCCATGGCCCGCATGCGCTATGAGTCAGAGAGAGACGCCAAAAGGGATCGCAAATCTTCAGAGTTCTTTGCAAGGGTTCGAGAGGATAGGAAGAGGAAACAGGAGGAACGGAGACAGAGATGGCTTGAAGAAGAGCATCGACGTTCTTCGAGTTCCCAAATTCCCGCAGCAAATGTTCCGATTCCAAGAGCTGAATACGATCCAGACTTGGATGACTATCATGTCAGTGCCCCATCCTCGACGTTGCCAGCAATTACAGAGAGCCATGAAGGAGAAGCTCAGGAGCGCGAGGCCAAGAGACTTCGTGTTGATGAACCAGAGCTGACAGAAGACGCTTCGTTGTTTGCCTATGCCGTGGTTGAACAGCCAGGTTATTTGTTGC